ATTTATGTGATGATATATATATGTGTATATATATATATATATATATATATATATATATATATATATATATGTAACTATCTATTTCGAACATGAACAATGATGATATTCACACAGTTTACTTGTCAAGAAAGTAATCACAATCAAAACTTTATAAACGTAATACTTCTCGGGACACTAAATCTAGACAACCCATGCATCTGTGCAACCCGGTTCTTGGAATAAAATCGTGAAAGAGAAGATATTAATGTACCTGCAATTCCTTTGCCGATTGATTTGGATCCATAGTTTCATATCTGCACTGCCGATACCTCTCTAGTGTGTTTGCCATACCACTACGTACACATGCGACATTTCAGACAGTCGTTGAATCTCAACCAAACAAGTTGCATGAAGCATTGATGACCGAATATATATGGAGTTGTATCCGGCCGCCTATTACAAATTAATACGATATCGACTTTGGAAATCTCTTGTTATGGATTTGACTAGTGGAAGATTTATATCTTATTTACGATATGAACCACATCTACATGAAAAAGGTTATGTTGTTTTATTCACACACAATGAGAAATTGAGTTTCCAAGTTGAATCCTTTAGGCACGGGAAGTAAGTTAACTCGAATTTTTCAAAGCATTTATTACAGATTTGTATATACCTAAAGGTCAATCCCTTTTCCCCTTGGAAACGAGATAAGAAGTCAAAAAACTCAATCTTGATATATACGTATAACTTAGACAATCTCATGCATTTTGTCGACGAAATCAAAGCTCCATATATAGGTGTAGTTAATTTCTTACACAAATCATGAACGAAGATACCTTCAAGTGGCCATGTACACAACCCAGCCATCGGACAAAGCTTTAGAAAAACCTAATCATCAAATCAAATTCCTAGCACCAAAAAAAAAACAAGCAAAGAAACCCACCAAAGAAAAACCCCGACTTTCATCATGGGTTTACTAACTCACCCACCTAAAATCTGAAGGGCAAATTAAAAACCCTAAATCTCTATAAGATTGTAAACGTGCGAGTACTGAGAAGATTGACTTACTCAGGGCTGCTGCAGTATTCGTAGAGCTTGCCCCGGTTAGAAAAGATGATAAGAGCAATCTCAGCATCACAAAGAACAGAAAGCTCATAAGCCTTCTTCAACAGACCGTTCCTTCTCTTTGCAAAAGTGACTTGCCGGTTTATCTTGTTCTCTATCCTCTTCAGCTCCACTTTCCCTCTTCCCATTATTTCACAAGAAAAAAATTCTTTTTTTTTTCTCCCTATTTCCTCTTTTATTTCCCTCTCCGAAACCCAGAAATGAATAAATTCAGTACATATATATACACCTTTCTTTACTTATATATGTATATGTGCAGCTACACACATATAAATGCATCCCGCTGGTTTGTGATTAGGGCATGGCTTAGTTGTGTCTCCTTTTGTACAACGTCGTAGGTTCTCTTTGTGCGGTGATGGTGGAGATTTGTGGTGGTGGTGGTGGTGGGCCACTTTGTGTTTAAGGTTCTTTCTTTTGGAGAGATGTTTCTTTTGGGAATAGCTTTGTCTTAGATCTTCATGCGCCAAGCTATTCTTGGCCAATATATCTTAGCTTCCTATATAATGATATATAGAGCTTGGAGGAAAAAAAAACACATGTGAAGATCTCGTATTTGTCATGGAGTTGGAACACTTGTCACGATTTTCCCGATCAAGCGGAGTGACTTTTGAATAATAACTAAGCATAACGTTTATATACAATCGCACTCACGTTTTAATTAACAACGAGATATAGCTAGCATGTATACTATACAATGTTTTTAATTAGAGAGAGGATACTTGTTTTAACAACGAAAAACAAGTTCCAAATCTCTCTCTCTCTCTCAGATTAGATTCCTAGTACTTTTCTAAGCAAAGTTTGATTACCCTCTCAAGACCAAGAAAATGCTCAAACTTTTCTCTTTCAGCCTCCTCCATTGAATTTTCAAGAAAATAAACAGACCCATATGTGTATCCATCTATAAAAAAAAGGGTATTATCTAACTCATTAGATTAACCCCTGGTTTGTTCTTAAAAGAAGATTATATATGCCCTAAGAAACCATGATCATGTTATCTTTAATTTATTAGGCACGGCAAGTTCGGCTCTATCAAAAATGTATCTTTATATATCTATTCATGTGTGTATATATGTGTAAGCAACTAAATATAGGCATGATAACGATGGCTTCTAGATATTTTCCTCTTGCCGACACCGCTTTCTACAAAAAGTAAACCATATAAGACGTTCCCTTGAGGTATAGTTTGGTGGCAAATCCTTCCAATTGAATAATTAATAAAAAAAATTATATATATATATATTTGTGTGTGTGTGTGTCTGTCTGCAGTTTCTCTCATGGAGGTTTTATATTGTAAAAGTGCATTTACTCACCCAATACATAAGATAATTATATAAAAAAATTATTATATCTAAAGGCGGATGGTTCAATTAATTTCTTTAAGGATTATTTTTTATACATCTCTCGCTCGAGAATTAACTTTTTTATTAACTGTCGAGTTTAATATTACATGGAGCACAACAGATTTTGCAAATTATGCATGGTTATTATTAAAAAAATATACTTGAATGGTAAAAGCTCATATATCATTTATCGGTTTATTCACGTATCGGGAAACAATTATACAGGGTAAGAGGCAAACATTCATGAACGACAAAGAAAAGAATATTAACCGAAAATATGAAGAGTTCAGCTTTCAAATCCTAGGAATTTCATCTTTGTTGGAGGATGCTTCTTGTCGGGTGAAGAAAATGTTCTTTTTTCCTATAATTTTTTTTAAAAAAAAATAATTAATCGAAATTGCTTGCAATGGTAGGTTTTCTCACTGATTCTTTCTTCATGGTAATATGTACGTGATGAGTAGTGTCTCTTCATGTCTCACACTAGCCTGTTTTTTGACTTTGTTTGCTGACTCACTCGTCACCTTTACCATGGTTACATGATACATACAATCTTTGTTCAACTCATCAATAATATCTATTGGAACTATATTTATATATATATATATATATATATATATATATATATATTGTACAACATAATCTAGTGTACTATTTGTAGGGTTGACATTGTTTATCATAATGAATCTTAACTTATGTTGCTACAAATACAAAAGATGTCCGTATGTACAGCTTTTGAACATTTCGTCATTGAGGATATGGCAATTTCCAAATTTCTAATTTTTAATCTTAAAAAGCACTCGTTTTCCTGTTGCAATGACATTATTAGTAGCCCCATAAACACATATTGGACTACCATGTATGCTTAATCTGAAATGAATTTATTTTTATTCCATTGTTCCGACCTTAAATTCAATAGAACTACGTACGCATATAGAAGAATAGGATAGACACGTAATCAATATTTACTTTATATTCTTGGATTATATAATAAAGGTCTTCGTTATCTCTGCAATATATCCTCCACCATTCTTTTAAGGTTCCAACTCTTCACCCACAAATGCTCAATATATATATATATATATATATATATATATATATATCAAAAAAGGATTCTACAATGGCTAAATAGATGAGGAATAATACTCTCAAAAGGATAAAAGAGAACCCTTCCGTCGTTCATGTGCACACGCATACCTATAAACTCATTAATAATTAAATTAGTAAGATACTAATGGTTGGAGGCCTTTGGTGATTACGTACACTACTGTATACGAACTAAACCCTAACTTGCGCTGTCCATTAGCCAACATTTGCCTCAGACAGTAATACAATACGAGAGGGGACACGAGCACCGGCAATTAAAGTCGCAAGTAATCAATAGTGACTGACATATTATAACGCTTTATATTTTCATCATTTACTTTTAAAACACAAAAAATAAAACGTAGGGCGATGAAAGGAGTCAAAGGAGAAACGAAAGCATGCAGGTTGGGGACAGAATTCATAGGCTACGTGTCGGAATATGGTTGGATGATATGTCCCAATCAGAGTCTTTTGTAATTAGTTCAGATTTGTTTTTTTGGCATGCACGAGACAACGTTTAACGTCTTTAGTATTCAACAGTCGCGCTCTGTTTGAGTATCTATAATAACACGTGTCGATCGTCAGGCATGGGCTTGGTCTCGTGTATTGGGACCCACAATCCTTATGTATTATTATTATTATTATTTTGATAATTGGTGGAATCTTGTGTATTATTTATATATACAGAGGTAGTGGACGGACATTAGATGGATGGACATTGGTGTAATTATACATCTCCCATTTAAATTAAATTAAGTTATTCTTGTAACCATGCGTGATAAATGCGTCACTCTCCATCTGGACCGTCTGAAAATACCACAGGATTGGGCCCGTCATATGATATGATTTTGCGTGAAATACCCACTGAACGCTCATTAGCTCTTAGAATCACGAAGCCCGATCGATAAATAATATAGTGTAGTTAGATCACTTAACGAATATAGGGTCGAATCTCTGCATGGAGGTAGGGGACGATGACACGTGAACCAACCTGAAATAACATGCCCGATGTAGAACATCCGCTTGTCATCTTTTCTCTGTGCATGATTCAAATGTAGGATATAATTACGTGTACTTAATTAATTACACAAACTTATACATATCTTATAGTTTTTGAGCAAGAATATATACTCAATGATCGCACGTCTCGCCATTAGAATCAAAATCTCGATATAATGATATGAATCTCGATATTGTTTTTTTTTTAAATAACGATAATTTTTTTTTTATGTGTGGTGGTCATGCTTCATGTTTCATTCTCTTTTCCTCGACAGCTAAAAAATTCTTGGTGGATATAGGAATCCACAATCATGTTCCCTATTTTCCAAACAGTGGATGTCAGGGAAATTTAAAAAGAAGATTGAAAAGGAAGTGACCCCAACACCACTTCCCTCACTTACCACTCATTTCACTACATTCTCATATATATATATATATATATATATATATACTCACATAAATGGTAGTGATATATTCATATTTTACAAAAAAAAAATGGTTAGATATCTTATGTTTTAATCATTTTTTTTCACGAACCATGTAACAAAAAAATCTCACCATATCTTATCCTCATTTCCCCAAGTGACATAAAAAGATAAAGAACCGGCATGACAGCAAAAAAGGGTACGAGATTTTTATTGAAAATGATCTGGCATCCCATTATGAAAGCGCAGGCCACTCTCCTACACTTATCCCAAATCAATGTTTATCTCCTTAATTACGTTGACTAATTTCTCAAACTCTTTTAAAGGGAAGTTAATTGAACACATTCATGATAATATTTTCGACCTAATTTAAAGGTTGGCTTTCCATCTTCCTCGTCACTATCAGCAATATTCATTCTCATTAACCCCCCAAAAAATATACAACTCATGTTTTAAATTATAACACAAAAAAATCATTGAATTCATTTTATAAAAAAGTATATCGCTAATGCCACCAATGGTTTCTAGATAAAGTACCATAAATATATTATATGTGTTATTAAAAATGCATGTATTTAGTGTTGGTAATGCATTCGTCACCATCGTTGCATATAATATTTCAAAAAAACAAACAGTAACTTATATTATGTAATGTCTTTTTCTTCCGTTTTTTTTTTCCTGTATTTTTTTAATATATGGTTCAGATTTTTTCTCTCTCTCACCCATTTCTCCGAATAATACACCCAAAATCATTAGCTAATAAAAATCTCTATGATCACGTTTAAGACGAAGAATCAGAGAACGTTTAAGGGTTTAGAATTTGAACCGGTTTAAACCGGTTGGGTTGACATCCGGTATGAACGCATTGCATGCAAGTACTCATGAATCAAACCGTTATGTATCCTATAAAAGCTAACATATCAGCATCTTCTCAATCCATAGGGAAGAACCGATCAAACAAAAAACGTGTTCAAATCTGAGAGACTCGAGAAAGAAACAATGTCTGTCATGGGATTTTCTTCGAACCCTGACGACAAACTCCGCACCCAAATCCGCAAGTGGAACGTTTCCGGTGAACTCGACGTCTTCGAAGCCACCCGGTATTTCTCGGAATTCAACGACCCAAACACACCCGAATCAAGAATCCATTCCCAGAAACAGAGCACTGTTATTACAGAACAGAGACAGAACAGAGTATATCCTGAAACAGAGGAACAGCTCCAGAGACAGGACATCATCGTCGAGCCGGAGCTCTCTGCTTCGTTCTGTTGGTTTCAAGAGATCACATTCTACGGCGGAGAGCCAGAATGCGGAAGGCCGGTTGAGGCGGCGGAGCATGAACGTCGTCGCTAGCCCGATCTCCGGCGCGTGTCGTTCAGACGCACCCGCAAGGAGGAGCTTCGACGATAAACATGTTCTATGTTCGGTTCATGTTAAGGAAGAGAGTCCGGACAGGTGGCGATGTGAGAGACCGAGGATAAGTGATGAGAGTCTCTGCCTGGTGGAGAGGGTTAGGGGTAAAAGTGGAAATACGGAACGTGGGGAATTGGACGATGGATGCGAGAGTGATTCGAGTTCTGATCTTTTTCGAGTTGAATTTGTGCGAGAAAGAGTATTGGGCCAACAAGCCCATCTATCAAAAGCCCAATTACTAACCATTTGTTCAAGTTTCTCTTGCACACAAAGTAGATCCATCCATTTTGTTTTTCACAAAAGCCTGCAAAAAAACAAAAAATACAATACGCAGACACACACACGCATATATATATATATATATATATATATATGTATATTAGTTAATTCTTGTTATATATGTAATCTTAAATATATAGTTATCACATATGAATGTAGTCAGTGATTCTTAAGATTTTGTTCCTTTATGGGGAAAATAATATTTTGATTATTCCATTCACCACTAATGACTATTGAGGAAGGTCTTAGAGAATTTATGGAATGGCATTCGCTATTTTTACCTTGTTCATCTGTAACGATTAGATTCCATTATAATTTAAGATAAACAGAATTTTTAATTTAATTTATCCTGACTTATATGGACAGATTCATTGACTAAATTGCCGAATTATATGAATATAGTCAATAAAATGTTACGATTACGATAAACACTAATCAAAATCCCAAGATTTCAATTGAAACAAAATCAAACGTGTTTATACAATTATAAAAGTATAAAATAGCATAAGATTTTTATTTTATTTTTCACCGACAGCATCTCTCCAACAATGGCCAGTCTCAGATTCTCTTTGGCATTCACTTCAGTTCTGGTCCTTTCCGCAGCTTGTTCTATCGGCACGTGTCTGAAGGTAACATTATATGATTTTTCAAATTCTTACGCGTGCCGTTATTATATCTCCTTGTGAATCGGATTCAGCTCGGGGAGATTTGTTCATCTGATGAGGAATGCGACGCCGGATTAAGTTGTGTTCCTTGTGGCCTCCAAGCTCCAAAATGCGTTAGATCGAACTTCACCGATCAGTTTGCGATAGTGGTATGTGAAATACGCATTTTAAGTTAATGATTTGATCTTATAGATTGGAAATGATTCCACATCTTTTTTCCCATGGATTTATGCAAATATACACATCGTTTAAACCTCGTAAATATTTTCGATTCATGTAACATTAGATGTCATGGATTATAAACTCTAAGGATCTGGAAAATCATTAGTGTTTATTATGATTGATCTTTAATATATTCATATATTTTTTTGCAGAATAATTCGCTGCCGTTTAATAAATATGCATTCTTGACAACCCATAATTCATTCGCTATAGAGGGAAAGCCGTTCCATATGGCAAATCAAGAAGATAGCATCACGCAACAACTGAATGTAAGTAATTGATAATCATAATTTATGCATTTGTGACAAATAAATGTGTGTGTATATATATATATGCTATTTTTATTTTATTAAAAAATTTAACAGAAATCTACCTTTTTCCCCCCCTCCTCAAGAATGGAGTTCGAGCGTTAATGATGGATACATACGATTTCAAAGGGGAAGTGTGGTTGTGCCATTCGTTCGGAGGGAATTGCTATGACTTGACCGCATTTGTAAGTTTTTACTTTTACTGCGTACCAAAACTAAACCGGATAGATGCCTGGTATGTATATATATATATATATAATTGGTTTGTTCTAAACCGATCCACTTTCAAGAAATATAGAACGGACCGTGGAGGAATTGGCTAGGTTTAGTTCGGTTTGGTTCACTTATAATTTTATACTAAACCGAATCGATTCTCCAATAAAACCGATGAATGTGGCTGACGTTATTTTTCTCTGTACTCTTCAGAATCCGGCAATTGATACATTCAAGGAGATATCCGCATTCTTAGCAGCAAATCCGTCGGAGATCATAACGGTGTTTCTCGAGGATTACGTCAAAACCCCAAACGCTTTAATCAAAGTCTTTACCGACTCCGGTTTGAAGAAATTCTGGTTTCCGGTTCAGAACATGCCTCGACCAGGCCAAGATTGGCCAACGGTTAAGGATATGGTTTCCAATAACCAAAGATTAATCGTCTTCACATCATCCAAGTCCAAGGAACAAAGCGAAGGAATAGCGTACCAATGGAATTACGTGGTCGAAAACCAATGTGAGCGATGGAAATAGAAACCGGTAAAGTCTGGTATAATACGTATTTTAACCGGTCCATTCTGATTTCAGATGGGGACGATGGTGAGAAGAGGAACGAGTGTAGAAATAGAGGCGAATCGGCGCCGTTAACCGATAAAACCAAATCATTGGTTTTGGTGAACCATTTCAAGTCATTTCCGGTTAAGGCCTTGTCTTGTGGGGATAATTCCGAAGGCCTTCTCGATGTGATTCAAACATGTTACAATGCCGCCGGGAACCGATGGGCCAATTTCGTCGCTGTGGATTTTTACAAGGTATCCAAAAAAAACAATTGCTTATAATTTATTAAATTGTTACATATTTTAATATTCAATTTTGATTTTTTTTTTTTGTGGGGGTTGAAATAGGTGAGTGATGGAGCAGGAGTTTTCCGAGCTTTGGATAAACTGAACGGAGAGATTCTCTGTGGAGGTGAAGATGTGCATTTGTGTACATAACCACCATGTACATTTCGAATCCCGGTTCGCTTCGATTCGTTTATATTTTCATTCGGTTTAGATTCTATTTCCATTCAGATATCAATAAAATGTTCATTTAAAAAAAAAATTCGGTTATATTTTTATTTGCTTCGTTATGATCATATTCACAATTTTCGATTTTAGAAAATTAAAACAAATCAATATTTATATCGAATTCTATTTTCGATTCGAATCAATTCGATAATTAACCAAATTGATCAACCTAATAATTAGTTAAATAACCAAACCAGTTGTCCAATAACCGAACGGATAAATCGGTTATCGTTCTTTGTGAACCGGTTCTTGTTCGTCGGCGTTCCCATGGCTACAGAACAAGTACAACTACAACGGAACCTGATATTTCATGGATATTAAACAACTTAAATCTTTGATATTTCAATCGGGAATCTTCTAGGCATAAGTAGACATCATAAACCAAACTTAGATGGGTAGTTCAGTTCAGTCACGGTTGAAGTTGAAGTTTTTTTTTTTTTTGGAACAGAGCCACATTTTCAGATTCTCTCCAAACCCAAAAAAAAAAAAAAAAGACGATCGCTTATGAAAAATGTAACATTTACTTTCGAAGAGAAACAAATCTGAAAATCCTTACTCAGAGCATTTCAAACCATCAAGTTTCGAGCCGGCAGGTATGTCCATAAACCACACCAGTTTCCCGGCGGTCGGCTGGACCAGCCGGGCTGGCAGAGACAAAGGGCTCCCGGGCGATTGCCAATCATCGATCGCCAAGTGGACGGCCTCGGCTTTGGCCTCGCCGGTCACGACTACAGCCACGTTGGAAGCCGAGTTGATAACCGGTAACGTGAAAGTGATTCTCTCAGGCGGCGGTTTCGGAGAGTCTGTTAGGAAAGTAACCCACTCGTTCTTCAATCCAAGAGCCGGATGGCTCGGGAAGAGGGAGGCGATGTGACCATCGGGACCCATCCCGAGCAAGATCAGATCGAATCTCGGGCAGTCACTGATCTCAGACACGCCCACAGTCCGTGTCCTCACGAGCTGTCTGATGGCAAACTCGTACTCCACTGCAGCTTCTTCCGCAGAAACTGTGTCGTTCATGGAATAGATATGACTCGGCACCACAGGAACCTGGACATAGAAAAATGCCCAGAACCCTAAATTTTTTCAGATAAAATATATATAAGAAAGGACTCTTGAATCGGATAGAACAAGTTTGTATGGATGCTAGCTTCATAGTGGATAACGATGGATGTTGTTCAAATATCAGAGCTTTAACCAGTCTTGAAGATCGTTTTTTGTCGGTTTCAGAACATATATCAAAGGTTGCATAGTCAAAACCAACAAAACTATTATCCGATTAGAAGAGATTCCCAAACCAAAACAGGACCACAGCACCATCTCAGCCTAACACGACCAAGCAGATAAAATAAGACAAAGTCCACAACTGTTTCTTGATCAAACCCTGTTGAAAAATTGCCTTCTTGTTTGCCCGATTCGTTGCTTTTCAGACAAGCAAAAGAATGGAAGGGCTAAAAGTCAGTTGTTCACAGTTTCAAGAAAACCTAAATCAACCAACCTCTAAGGGTTTTTATCGCTTTCTTCCAAGTTTCAAGAACTGTAAACAGAAAACAGACGAGGTGAAATGAAAACAGAACAGATCCCAATCTAAGTGGCAACAAAACATGAAGCACAAACCTTGGAGAGGAGTTCATCCTTTGCAAGCTTATAGTTGCTATCCACGTGGTTTTTGGCCACGACACGCTCGTCCGCCCAGAAAATATACCATTTTGCCCAATCTACCGTCTTGTTATAAGGCGGCTCACACAGTTTTCTGTTGTTAAAACGAATCAAAACTCTGAGAAACTGAACATTGAAAACGAAACGAGAATGGAAACAAAAGGTGTGACCTTTATATATATATATATATAAATACCCCATCAAGCTGATGAGAGAACCTCCAGACAACGCAATGGAGAAGACGCCATGTTCTTTAACAGATGCTTCTGACAATTCAGCAATGTAATCTACCAAATCTGTGCTGAGTTCGTCCGAGTTCTCATGAACCCTAACCTCTCCCCTATCTTTGTGAGTCCAAGTAAGTGCCATTTCTTTATTCACCAGTTTCAGCAGCTCTACAAGCAAAGAGACAGCGAATTATGAAACTGAAACTAAGAAAATATCAGATTCGGATATTCGGTCTCTGGGTCGATGCAAAATCTAAACTTTAAGCGATTCCAGAGAAAATTAGCCTTCCACTTTGGTAAACATCTCAAGAACAGCAAGGTATGAACATGCTTTTTGACCCTTTAGCTTTGACTAACTAAGAGTCAAGAGACAAATCCAGTTAAGATGAGATTTATAACCAAACAATTTTCAACAGAGAGATTAAACTAAACTCAGTCTAAATGCTCTCCCAATTTACAAGTTTAATCATAAACCCAAAGACCATAATGAAGAACAAAAAACAGAACTTTCGAGGATGAACTAAACACAATGAGCAACAAAAGATGAAACTTTAAGGATTTTTCAGTTCAGAATCAGCATGCATCTGATCACAGAAAAAGATTACGATCTTCAACTAAAATCCAAAATTGGATCCAGAGAATCAAACAGGGGAACAAATCCAATATGCAACCATGGATTTCAAGTAAATGCAACAGATTGGAGAGAGCATGATACCATGATCTAAAGAGTTAAAATTGGAAGACAAAAGGAAAAGGGGAAAAATATTATTACAGAGAAAGGAAGAGGAGGTGGAGAAGAAGTAGAGGATGAGAACGAAGAGACGATTCGAGTGAACAAGCTTCCAAACAAACATATTATATAATCACATCAACATACAGCCCACGTATACATACACCCATGTCTATGTATATATGCGTGTATGCCTGTTATATGTTCGTGAGTGATGTAAACAATGGACTTCCTAATCCATTGCCCTTATAATAATAACAAAAACCCTCTTGAGAGAAGAAGGGGAAGCAGAGAGATAGAGAGAGAGGGATCGAGATTCTTACCTTCTGGGTCTACACGTGCATCGAATGATTGTGATAGAACACAAAAACCCTAAAAGTAAAACGGATAAAATCGAGAAATCGCGAGCCAAATTCCTAAACTTTCCCAAAGAAATCAAGAAATTGACCCCAAAAGAAGAGAACTTTTGAAGAAAAACCCAGAATTTGGAATCTCCGGTGTCCCGTGTTTCAGTTCCTACCTGGTGGAATTTCTTAACTCAGGGTTTATACGAGAAATTAACCCTTGCATTTGGAGAGGAGGGTTTATTATTCTTAAATAAATTGACATTTGGTAAAAAAAAAATATATAAAGATAAGATAGTCCAAAAAGAGTAACCAAACATCTGTCAGATCAAATAAGACAAATGGACCAATCACTTCTTATGTCTTGTCAAACTGCGAGTGTTGTGGATTTTTCTTTACCATTTAAAAATAAAAACAAAACTGAAATTTTGATCTGACCTATTTTCATTTAAATACAATTTTTTTAGAAGTAATATTTTTTTGTGTGTTTTTACTTCTTTTGTTTTTGTTTTTGCTTTGTCAATCGATACAACATAAACAGATTTTTCTTCAATTAAAAAATTTACAATATTTGCATCAATTTTAATTTTATTCAAAATAACACTGAGGCAAAAAAAAAAAAACATGATTACCATTATGATGTTATAGTTTTATACAATTCACCCGTTATAATTTAGATCGAGTTTGAAACAATAATTTTATATTCCTTTTAAAGAATGTCGCGCTAATTTGCAAAATAGTTTCCGAAATTTAGTTGAGAGATCATAACTCAATTTTTTTATATTTTCCATTTAAACAATGTTTTAGATATAAGCTAACAATGTTTTCATCTCATATGGAGGCACAGATTTAATTTTTTAAAAAAAAAATCAGTGGATACAGACATCCATGTGCGCCATTCATGATAATAAAACAAATCATAAATATCATAGACTATAACATATCTTGAATTTTTTATTGGGTAATATTTTAGACTTAAATGGTTATTTGTAATTAATAAATAAAAAATGGTGGTTAGAAATTGAACAACTGATATTTATTTTGATGAACCGTTAGTCATAGACGATCGTGTGATTACTGATTTACCAATTAAATCGTTTATTGAAAGAAAACAGAGTATATATCATTTTTTTAACCAAAGTTAATGTGTACTATTTATTGATTGACTATCTTTTTTAAATAAATTTTGTCAATAGATTAAAAAAAACAACGAATAGAACTTTGGAGTCTTTTGCTATCCACATCAAGCGACATGTTTTAAATAAATTCCATATTTTATATGCGGCTGTAGTTGTCAAAGGGCAGGCACAATTTTCAAGCATGAAATAATACAAGCCCATAATTTTGATTTATTTTCATGGTTATGCAGTTTTATTATGCGAAACCTAATGGTTATGTGGTTTATGTGAAAGTCGAACAATTTTCATTATTCTATCTATTCGTTGGTCGAAACTATTTGGTTATTTTATATTTGTGATAATTTTATTTATTTCGAGGGAAAAGTCTTTTTAGTGTGAAAAGTTCTAATAATGATTTATTATGCATGCACAACATACATATATTTTGTACAAATAATTTAAACTATTTTTTTTTGTGTATGCTATGGAACAATTTTCGTTCAACCTTATAGCTTAAGAGTTACACTTCAAATAAGTTATTCGAGTAATTAGGTAATTGATGAATATATTAAGTTTCACGGACCAAAAATATCTAATTGGGCGATGAATATGAAAATGGAATGAATCTTAGCGAGCAAAGAAAATGAACCGTGTGAGGAGGCAATCAATGCAGTCAAAACTAAATTAATTTTGGTGGTAAATAAAGGCGTTATTAATTATGAAATAAGTATATTCGCAAACATCTAGTCAACCCAAACAAGAAATTATATGATTAGAATTGGGATCATATATGGTTTTAGCTAATTAAGAGCATATATACTATACTTGACCTAATCTTCGATCGACACCGATTATAAACTAATTAAAACATCTCACTTTTTATTTGTATATAATTAAGGACTTGGGGTATTAATAATAACGCCGTCGCTTTCGTCTTATCAATTGTTTTAACTCCACTAATCATTAAGCCATTACCTCACCTCACTATTGATTTTATTCTTATTGATTTTATTTATAAAATAAACTTCTTATATACTATACATATCCGACCCTTTTGCTTCTATTGGACCGTTAAACCCTTTAATTGCCGGTTATATGTAATGTATTCCTGTACATTTGTTTTATTCGAACGTCTCGTATTCTCTCTTGTAGGAACAAATTTAATTTTCTAAAATTAAGAAAAGTTTCATATTGAATTTATCATTTATTCTTTCAAACTTTACAAAGTTTCATATTTTTTTTTTAAATTATTTAGAATCGTAAACTCCTCCGTCTCGTATGATATAAAATTATATCCAATAGAAATATAAAATACATATATCCAATCTTGCTTTATGTAGCATTCCAATAAAGATTAAATAGAGAACTAATCATGGTAGGGTATGGAACAGATGTCAAAGAGCTGATCGACCTTCCAACATTGAAATGGATGGAGACCATGACCATTACCTGAAAAATCCTGCATCGACAGAAATTGTATATATATATATATATATATATATATGAATGTTTATATTTACATATTCGCCTAGTGAATTTGGTTGGCACTTTATGAATTTTAAAATGCACAGATACTTTCCTGTGATTAGTAATAATTGACAGACAAGTCTCATTAATTATATTGGGTTTTTTTATTAAATATAGTGCTCTTAAAACTTAATCGTAATCTGTGTTGTGTTTTACAATTTGGTGGATGTTTCTAAAGAATTGATAACGTGATGACTAGATTAATATAAAAGTTGATTTAAAGATGAAATTAACTTGAATACTATCGAGTAGCATCGTTATTGGAGTTTAGTTTAAGTAATAGCAAGAGATATAGATGTGATCTAATCTAATTATTGACTAAGAAAAAATATTTTAATTAAATCTGCATTAAATTAGGGTTTTATTTCGGAAAAGAAAGTACAATGATTAAAGTTTGAAACAAAAAAAAAACAAATGTTATGAAAATGGATGCACATGGACACAGCATCACATTGTTTGTCCGGCAGGTAAAGAGATCAGACAATCTCCCAAGTTGTGGGACACATGAAACCGTTCTTAAATAAGTTTGTGAGAAATTCTATTTTCATAAACCAAAAATATATAAATATTTCGAAGCAGTGTTGTAATTAATGCAAAGTTATTTACTCGACTACAATATGGATCGGTCGGTGGTGCCACAGGTAAATGTCACAATTTTTCTAGTTCTGTTGGACTTTGTATTATTTTATACGAAGAAAGGAAAAACCCAAAACATGTATATCGTTTTTTGCAAACCCAAAAAATTAAACTATAATAACATTAATTACAATATAAATAACTGCGCTTTTGTTTTTTTGGTATACTTTTTTTTTTATAATTCGAAAATTCAATATCTCTCGATAGACCGAAGAAATCTATACGAATATCTCTCCTCAAGTGAAAATTTAAACCCGAATTAAAAAGGAGTTTTGCTCCATTCCTTACCGACTGAGCCACCCAAATTTGGATCTCGAAACTTATAGTTAGAAATTGCATTTAAATTTATGGTGCCCACAGAAGTTATATATATATATATATAACCACACATATCAAATGTTGACAAATTATAAAAATCTTGTTAACGTGTTACTTGACATTATTATTATTCAAATAAGGTATCTATTTTCTTTTGTTTATAGGTCCACATGATAAAATAAAAAAATATGGTTTTTTTTTCATGAAATCATCGGATCAATTCAAAGCTAAGAAGCAACAAGTTTGACAAAGGATAAGATTTTATTTTACGGCTCAAAACGACAGTTTGCCCTTAAGCGAAAATTTTCAATTTAAACCATCAACATCACCTATACAATCAAACATTATATATGTATATATATCTAATAAATATGCAAGTGTGTATATATATGCATATATCAAGCAGCAATGGGAAAATGTTTAAGAGGTCAAGTGGATGAAAGCATCTTTGATTGCTTTTCCATGTGAGTATTTATGTATCACATCAATTACCTGTTTTTCTTCTTTAGCTTATGATTGTTACAGTTTTGCCCATTAAATATACACTTTTATATGAAGATTCTCTCCCCTTGGAATCAACACTATTGATACAATTAGAAAATAAAAAGATACATGTATCCTTTCATTTCACTAATGGGACAATTTCAATGGATCACCCAAACTTTATATATATATATTTGTGATGTCATTAGTGAGCAAAACAGGAGATATTATAATATAAGACTTAACTTAGGACACTCCCCTAACCTAATAATTGAAAATAACACTATGATGATTCCTAGCTAGCTATATATAGCATGGGAGATTACAATTATATATAAACTCTAATATTATATAAATTCTTTAAATTTTTTTAATAACAATGAGAAAATCTTATTCGGTGTTGTGTATGAGATTTCAAAGTGAAGGAAGTTTTAGATACGAGAGAGATATCGTTTGTAATGAAAACATAGAAAAAAAAATGGAAATTACAAAAATAACTTAACAACAAAGAGATATTTCATTATATTTGAACTAAAGTGTCTAATAATCAATTATAGCGCATTAAACTGTTAAATATCCTCTATGGGCCTCAACTTGAAACCCATTTCTTTTACATTGGGCCTTTTCCCACTTAAAAGCCCTATTAAGACATTTTTCATATTATTTCAATGAGCCCAATATTAGTTTGGGCTTACCGATTCTACAAAAGGTATTAAATAGCCCATTTAGTTTTAACACCCAAATTTAATTTAGAAATTAATTAAATATCATTTTTAAAATAAAATTTATCGAATCCAAATCTATTATAAAACCAATACATCTATTCGAATAAAAAAAATTATTTATAATTTTCAGCAAGAATGAAACCACACATAATATATAACTGAATAAATTTGTTATATATATATATATATATATA